GACGGGGTGCTGCAAGATGGCATTCGTGCTGGACATGCTGGAAGGATACTATCGCGACATGTTCGACCACATCTTCATTCTCTGCCCGACTTTACGGGTGAACAAGACGTACACGGAGAGACCGTGGGTGATGACGGACCCGTACATACACAAAATCGATCCGGGAATTCGTCTGCAGGACTGGTTGCGTGCTTACCACGACAAACTGAAAGAAACGACGATGTTCATCCTGGACGACTGCAGCGCCAACAATGAGATGGTTAAAAAACGAGACGGCTGTCATACCTGGCCTTCTCATGCTGACACACGAAGTACATCGTTTGGGTTCTGACGCAGAAATTCAACTCGGTGCTTAAAGATTTACAGGAACAGACGCGATGGGTCACCCTGTTTCACTGCAAGGACAGTTGGAGCACTGCTTGCGAGAAAACGACACGATCCTGACGAGAACGAGTGAAGAAACAGCTCGCCGAAACGAAACATGCCAAACTTTTGTTGAAAACCAAACAACCATGGTGTATAAAGTCTGCTAGCTTTTAAGTAAAATTCTAGCATAACTCAAGCAAAAACGATATTCGAAACTTTAGTTGTGTGCAAATTGACTTTCATCTCGCTGTGTTTCGCGTGCATCGCATTTTATTTTATTAGACTAAAAAATCGCTTGTTACATTTAAAGATGGAGTACGACAAACTGCTCAAACAAATGTTGGATGACGATGATGATAATAATAAAAACGACACGCGAGAGAGACTGGTGGTGCTCGCGGTCAGCAGCAAAGCAAAACAATACTTGGCTGGTGGGGGCGACCACACTCCCAATAAAATTCACAAAATGCCAGCCAAACATATCGACATGCTGTAAGCGAGAAACGAAGCCAGACTTAGCGCCGAAATGACAAAAACTATAGGGTCTGTCATAACGCAAGCCTACGCCGGTGTAGCATCATACTTCCTTCTAAATCCGCCGGAACGTCGACTTTACCTGTGGGAATTTCTCAAGAAAGATCTGTTCATCGACCACGTTTTGAGCGCCGTGAGCTGCGTGCTGTACCACAGATACGTCATGTTTTTAGCTCCGACGACCGAGGCGATCATCACGGCAAAGCGTTTTCAATTTAGAGAAGGAAAAAATAATAATGATAATAATATACAACATGGATGCGCACCCGGAGGAGAAAACGTCAACACCAACGGAGGAGGAAGCAACGATGACACTGATACAAGTCACCACCACAAAGAATCCTAAAAAGGTCGCCGGTGGTAGAAAAGGTGGTTTAGCCAAGCACCACAAAATACTCCGTGGATTGCTGCCGCCATGGCAGCAACGGAATTAGTCGTGGTCGTCGTCGTTATGCTGCTATATGATAATAACAAGCAACCACCACCAATCAACACAACAGCAGCAGACGACGCAATCACAATTAGAAATATATCTGCATGTTATAAAAATATATATATATATATATATACACACGATGTTGTCTGAAGGAAAAACATTCGTCAACGTTGCACATCACGCCGCCGTGGTCGCCGGACTAACCGTAGGTTACACTCGCTTAACGAAAATGTTTCTCAAACAGCCTACAATCAACTTAGATTCAACGTGCAGGATATGGGCATGTTCGTCATGGACCTAGGGATGGCGATGGCCACCAAGGACATTTTCGTGAAACAAGGAATTATACCGGAAATTATTTTGAAGTAATATTATAATATTTGAAAAAAATAAATGGGCACGATCGCCATGGTGGGTGGTGCATTAGTCAACGCCCTCGCTAGCTCCCGAACGATTGACAGTGAACCCGGATTGGATGTCCGAATATCAACGAAACTTGCTGGGAAACAACAAGGTGGCTAACGTTGAAAATCTCGTGCCGAACTTGATGAACAAGTCAAAATACGTCGTTCACAATATTGCAATATGCAGCTGTACTTGTTGCTGGGAATGAAACTCACGAAAATACACAGGACACTCCAGTTCGATCAAAGTCAATGGATGGAACCTTACATTCGGTTGAACACGAATCTGCAAAAACAAGCCACGAGCCACAAAAAAACTTGTACAAGCTCATGAACAACTCGGTGTTCGGCATGACGATGGAGAATTTGAGAAAACGCATTAACGTGAAATTAGTCAGAGACATTAGGGTACCCCACCACCCCTGACATTTTGTAACCCCTCTCATTTATTTTCTTGGTAAAAAGGTGAGATGTGTGTGGTACCGCGACCGTTATGTTGGTTTTCACGCACTATAGTTGAAAAGCCTTCCCAGCAAGTTTCGTTGATATTTGGACATCCAGTCCGGGTTCACTGTCAATCGTTCGGGAGCTAGCGGATAGCTGTTGTGTGATTTATGTAGTTCTGTGGGATAGTCCAAGTCCACTTCGAGCATGTAGCCTTTGTTCGAATCTGGCGCGATACTATTCACGTCATTCATTTCGTGTGAGGAGACACATTCGAGACACATGGGGAGAAACTGACTCATGGCCCAGCCGTACAGGTTGTTGGCGTCGAGATAGAGTATGTGTTTGCCGGGGTCGTGATCTGGCATGTACTTGTTGTTGGCTTTGGCGTATCGTTTGGAGGTCTTGGGAATCCCGCCTCGCAAGCCTTTTTCCACGAACAGGTGCATGTCATAACCCGTCAGTAGTTTAAGCTCCACGCCAGTCTTTTTCAACAAGGCGTCCCAAGAGAGACCGGGGCAACGCATGTTAGACTGCATATGCCACAAGTTTCTATAAGAGGCAATAAGATCCCAGAAATGAAGCGATAAGATACGTTTTTTGTCAACATGGTTGGTTACACTTTTTCAAAGAACTATTAATGAGAGTAAATTATTTTTTTATTTTTGTAGATGTTTTGTACTTAATACAAAAATGATGTTATAATTATGAATGTAGTATTGTTTGTTGAATATGCTAAAATATATATCTGATACATGATAATATTATAGGGTGGTGAAATATGAGAATAAACTATTGCAAATAATTATTCTTTTTCTACCATAACTGCACACAGCAAAGTATCAGATATGATTGATGACAATGGACATGGAATATATACTCGACGAACTGACATGTATGTTTGGGCATGAAAACAAAGAACCCCAAATCAATATACAGGAACATTATTATACACATGTACATCTACACCTGATAAAGATTAGCTGTGAGAAACACACGGAAACACAAGAGGTGGGTCACTGTAACCACTGAAAGAACATATCGCCTTATAATAGTGAAAAGAAAATGATATTCCTTAACATTTTGAAATTTGTTTAATCACTTTTACTGTTGTCACACATTTCATTTCCTCAGCTCCAGACTGACAATGATCAACAGATATTTTCAAAATCATCAATTTTTGGAACACAAAACATTACTTCTCAACTGTGAAATGAAACAGAGAGAATTCTTTCAATAACTACAAAAAAATCAATAACGTTACGACTGCAAGTTAACATGTGCATTCCGGCTTCATGTAGTACACTGAATATAACTGAAGCAATTGTTGAAGCTATCTGAATAAATATTAGATTTTTCGTATTGCATTCGTATTGTACATGCTTCTCCATAAAAATCATCATCACCAAACACTAACACACACACACACACACACACACTAACACACACACACATTATGAACATTCCCTTTGTAACCGTCACTCAGGGTCAATTTGCACAGAAAAACTGAGTGGACACGATAGAGCACGTGCACGAAATGTTGGTACAAACTCAGAATATATAACGATACCTATAAATGCATGACAATAATCTTAAGTTATAGGTGTACAACTGAAACTTTTATATTTCTAGGATGATGCATTTAGTTTTCAACTCCTGTTTCCTGAATATTTCTGGAAATATAGTATGACCAGAAATTATTGAGAAATTTAGGAATATGTTTAATTGGATTTCTAGTATAAACAACCTTGACCAGCTATCAAGTGCTTGGTTTCATTCAAGAGAGACAACTCCGTTAATCCTTTTTCATTAGTTTGTGAAGAGTTATCCCCCTTTGTTTGACGGCATTTTCAGTTATCCTCAGTATGGATGATTTAGAGAAGAGGAAGTTGATTTTAGAGTATTATAACAAGGACATCAGATCAGCTAAAGTGATTTCAAGTAGAACAACCATCCCTTTGTCCACTGTTTATTGTGTTTGGAAAAAAATTGCAAATGGATATGGCATTGAGCACCAGGGAGGCGCAGGTAGGCCAATAAAATTGACTGTCGGTGACAGGAGGCGGCTTTGTATTCTTGTTTCTAAAAACAAACGAAAGAGTTTAGAAAACTTAAGGCTGGATATGATTGATTAGAGGAACTGTGGCTGTCTGTAAGGAGACAATTAGAACTGAGTTGCATGCAATGGGTTGGCAGAAAAGTCGAGGAATTCCATCACCGATCATGAAACCTGAAGAAAAGGAGCGAAGGTTGAACTGGTGCTTACAGCATAGAAATTTTAACTGGGACAATGTGATTTTCTTAGATGAAAGTTCTGTGTGGCTGAAAAACCTTTGTATCAGCGCCAAAAGTACAGTCCGAAATTTAACGTGTGGGGTGGCATATCTGTGTTAGGGGCAACGCTCCTCTGTGTATTTGAAGGGAATATGAACAGTGAGCGGTACACAGATATTCTCGAGGGACATTCCATCTGCTCACGTGTTCTATGGAAGTTTTTGGATTTTCCAGCAGGACAACGACCCAAAGCATCGTTCAAAGCATTCACAGGCCTGGTTTCGGACCCGAAATCTGAGATTATTAGATTGGTCAAGCTATAGCCCTGACCTAAATCCAATAGAAAATGTTTGGGGACTTATGAAGAAAAGTGTCAATAAGAAAAATCTGACAAATATTGCTGAAATGAACAAAGAGGTGGTCCGATATTGCGACAGCATGGACCACGACTTTCTAACTTCTTCGATCAGTAGTATGCCCCGCCGCACTGAAGCCTGCATTGCTGCCCATGGTGACTTGACAAAATACTAACTGTTTACCTGTCTTTGAATCTGGAGTTATGTTCTACTAATATTCACATTTGATACGTGAGTAATGAGTGAAAAAAAAAAAATACCATCTTAAATTCTCAATAATTTCTGGTTGTACTGTATAAGAACACTCTTGCTATTGTCATTACTATGTCGTACTAAAACCTTTTGTCATTTTATATTCCAGCAGTTTTTCTAAGATCCTTCCACAGAGTCTCGTCCCTGTCCTGGTAATCCTCTGCACGCAATATGCACTTCTCCTCTACAACATTCAGCAGACGCTCAGGCAGGTCCTCCACCTGCACGGGGCCCACAAGTAACAAAATGATCCGGTTAGGAATCAGATCCGTTACCGAGTAAAGTGCTGCATCAATGGTAAAGTGTGACCATTGAGAACAATCTTGAAGGAAGTCATCTGAAATCACCAGAACAGACTTCCAGCTGTACGTGATACCGCAAATAATACCGTCGGCGATAGGAACGCCTGGAAGAACATCCCGATCCTTCAGAAACAGACGCACAGGCTGATTACACAGTTCCAGCTCTGGTCGTACTTTCCGATAGACGAAAGGAATGTCAGCCTCACAATACGCGACAAAGAGGGTGAAATAAAAATCTTTGGGTGTTAAATATTGGATGCCCAACCCAAAGAGTTTCAGCAAAGCATTACGATATCGCATTGGATTATTGGAGACTATGTATACTGCAATAATTGAAGTAAACAATACCACCATTAATGTAACTGTGATGCTAAGCATCAGTTTGCCTGTACAGTAGCGAAACAATCTCTCATGATGTTGGGCCACATCCACAGTTCCTGTCATTGTGCCATTATCCAGAATGCAAGGGAAGTTTCTGTCAGTCTCGTAAATGACAGGTGTATCCACCAACCAAAGAATGAAGTCCAGATTTTCACAGCTACACGAAAAGGTGTTCCCTTTGAGAATAAGTCTGAGGTTGTTCTTTTCGAATGACAAATCCAGTTTCATTCTTGTGACTTTATCCAACTGTCCAATCAGATTGAAGGACATGTCGATAAGGATAAGCCGTGGATAATCAATGGTTTCAATGGGAAGGGTCTCAAACTCATTGTGAGATAGTTTTAGATGGATGATTGTATTTGAAATTGGACGAAGAGGTATATCAGTGAGTTCATTCATTGAAACATCCAAATATTGTATTGATTTCAGAGGACTGAATACATTATTGTCTCTGAAAGATATAGGGGAAAACTGTAACTTGCAATTTCGCAATGATAAGTGTGTTGCATTTTCAAATGAGTGAAAATTAAACACATTGTCAAACTTGTTTCCTGATAAATCAACATTGCTAACATTTTCTAAACCCCTCAAGTGCGTTAAACCAAACAAAGAGTTAGAAGCAAGGAGGACAGTTTCAAGATTGTGGGTGTTATTAAATACGATTTCTTGGACGGTGTGTGAACCTCCTGATATATCAGTTAAACCAAGATATCCAAGTTTAGGAGGCAATATGACTGTTACTGTTATGTTCTTACTTAATGATTCATAACTTTGGGTCCTTGGAAAGTCACCGTCTATTCTCTGCAGGCTGCAATCGAAATATTCAAGGTTGGAAAATCTGACAATGAAAAATAGTACACCAAGATCCCCAGCAAAATAGTTTTCAGACACATCTAGAACTTTCAAACAACTTTCAAACGGATCTATGTAGACTGCTGCATATTCGACCAAGTATAAGTGGTTATCTTTCAAAGATACTTCAGTGACACATATTTTAGTCAGATAACGCATACTTTCTTTAGTTAGGGCTCTATCAAGAAGTTCTTTTTCATGTTGCACTTCGTACTTATATGTACCATTGAACCAAATTTTGGTCATATTCCGATTTACAAAGGGATGGAGAAGACGTAAAGCGTTGTGGTTTCCTATTTGATTGTGGGTTAGTTCCAACTCTTTTAGGAACATTAGTGGCACTAGAACGCCTGGCTCACAGTCTTTTATACCACAATGATTTAAAACCAAAACCTCAAGCTTTGTTTCATTTAAACTCTGAAATGTTTCATTTCTTAATTTTTCTGTTGAACATTCGCCTCCATATATAAACCTGGAGTCCATCTGGAGTACTGTCAGATTTGCTAGTTTAGAGAATCCTGGACCAAACAAAGGATGAGGAACTGAGTCGATATACAGACTGTGGAGCTTGACGAGAGGAGGAAACACCCAATCCGGATATGAACTCATTTCAGTTTTTTCAAGATTTAGAGTGTTCAAACTCACAAGGTCACGGAAGACTTCCTCAGGGAAAGACACGTTGTCTGATCGCAATTTGTTCCGAGCAAGGAGAAGTTTGATGAGATTAAACAGGCCCCTGAATGCCTCTGGTTCCAACTCTGACAGCGGGTTCATGTTGATATTAAGATAGATGAGCTTCATAAACTTGTTAAATGTGTTATTTTTTAGAATTCTCAGATCATTTTCACTCATATCCAGGGCTTTTATATTTTCCGGAAGGTAGTCTGGGACTTGTTGAAGTTTTCTTCCAGTACAGTCAGCAAACAAACCTCCATATTGCTTGTCATAATGCACTGCACAAATCTGTTCATTTCCTTGGCACAATGTAAATGTCAGGAAAACAAGGAGAGTCCTCAACATTGTGTCTGAAACAACAACGAAAATGCATGGGCGTCGTTCATCGGATATATTATTTTAGCAAAATTATTATTACACTTTATAATGTAAGAAACACATTCATACAGTCATTATCGCTTACCTGTATAAGAAGTCAAGCAAATGAAAATACCAAGAAATCAATAAAATGTTGAGTATGTATTTGATATTGAATGATTTGGTTTGATTGTTGTTTAACACCACTCAGCAATATTCCAGCTACATTGCAGCGTCTGTAAATAATCGAATCTGGACCAAATTGGGATACCATGGCATGTCATCGAGCCTGACCACCCGATCCCATTAGTCGCCACTTACGACAAGCACAGGTTGCTGAAGACCATTTCTAGCCCGGATCTTCACGGGTATGATATTGCATCGAAAATTACCAATACGAGGGCAGGTAACTACATTTGAGGGCTGAGGCTTGTGTGTTTGTGGTGTCGTGCAGTATAGTGCTACATTAAGTCAGGGATATGGAAGGTACTGCATGAAACTACAACCCTATGGACTTTTCCAGTATATAGGGGGTTGGAGAATCTTCAGTCTTTTTCTTATGTAATAAGGGGAGCTGACTCTTGTCTATTATCTCACAATCTCTCATTACATCTCAAGTCAAATGAAGACAGCTATTGTGCGGAGATCATTCCACCACAGGAGGATCGACTTCCACTCGAGGTTCTGAAAGAAATCCCAATCCACTAATTTCTCTCATACATAAAGAACCTGTACGACGACGACTGCCTCTTCTGGTGCCTGCGCTACCAACACCTCGTCAACGAGTTGTCGGTTAATTGTCCATGCAGCGAGAAAGAGTCTTGTATCTTCCGGAAGGAATCTACACGTGCCAAAAGTTCGCCGTAGCAAAATACAAAGGGAAGACAAACAAACATTTTTCCCTGGGAGAGGATTGGGATAGGATTAGGATTTCGATATAGACATATCGAAGGATGGGATATATATACCCACGAAAAATAAACCATGCCACCAAAAAGAGGTTTGTCTTCTGACCAGATCCAAGAAATACGCTCCCTTCACTGTGTGCTCCCATCGAGCGAGGTCAAAAAGCGCTTTGGTATTGGGTCCACAAGGCTGTACGAACTATGGCAAGAGCCTGTTGTAGAACCTTCAACCCTATCGCCCGACGAAGAGATAGCTCCGACTGTCACAGAACCGGCGGACATCTTGTCTGCTAGCGAGACAGCTCCAAAGTGGTCGACCGACCATGACTTCTACTATCGTCTGGGGAGGCTCGAGGCTCGTGCGGAGCAAACCGCAAATACGTTGTCGGCTGGTGTGCAGCAAACGACGAATTTGTTGGTCGACATCTTGTCGAGGCCGGACAAGGACGTCAACGAATTCCGGGAGGAAATAGAAAGTGTCAACGAGGAGGAGGATACGCTGTCGGATATCGAGAAGGTGCTGCAGAAGGTGGAATCGTCCCAAAAGTGGACCTACCTTTCGCTTGCCGCCTTGTTTGTATGGAATGTCATCTACAAGACCTGGAAGCATGCCAGCACAACGCCGGCTGCCGCCCACCACCCAACACCAACCCACAAACATGACTACGAGATGCCGAAACATATGGACCCCCACCACATGCTGTAGAAAAAAATATATATATGTGTCCGCAATTTGAAATATAGTATATAGAACTACATAGTTTTGCAGCAATGCATATCATGTACAAGAGAGGAATTCGACAAAGCAGAGGCTGCATACTGGAAAGAGAACCCCATGGAGTATTCTTCTGTGGACGAAAAGCTACTAGAAATGGCTGGGGAAGGACCAATAGACCAACCAGCTCGTATACTAGGCCACTTTGGCACCGATACAGCAAAACGGTTTGCAAATCGCAGCAGAATGTATATCGTTGGGTACGCGAAAGGTATTCTATTCTGTATCCCTGGTGGGACTATTTGTTTCTAGCTGTATGCTACAGACACCAGTCTATCTTTGTTTTGTTGTTTGTTTTTGTTTTGTTTTTATGGTGCTGTCTTTTTTTCTTTTGTTTCTTGATAGAAAAAGCTATTGCCGCTCGGTCTCTGGGAGCAGCAACTTGACTTCTCGATCGTCTTTCCTCTTCGATATGGGCGATTGGCAGATTTTGCCCAGCCTGCACCGAAATGGTCCACCCACCAAACGTAGGTGTTCTATTCCGCCGGCGTCTCGAACCTTTTCTCATATCCTCTAGCCGTACACCGGAATTATTTTTTCTCCAGTCGATGGCGAATCCAGTAGCAGCAACAGTCGGTTCTTCCCTTCGTATTTCGCTACGGCAAACTTTTGGCACGTGTAAATTCCTTCCGAACGTCTGTGGCTTTTCGATGTTCGCTGCATGGAGGGGCTGCCACTTCCATATCCTTGGGTCCGTCGTAGTTGGGCAAAGGGGTGGTATGCCGTCCCCGTCCCCGTGGCGGATCTGCTTGTCCCGATAGCTTCCGGGACTTGGGTTCTGCTGGGCGGCAGTAGTCATCCGCGAGAACGATGCGGAGTTTGCCTGTCGTGGGTCGAAATTGGTTGGGTGGGTAGAAGAAGACGAAATCCACTATTTTGCCATCTTCGACGAATTGGCGAAAGTACAGCACATACAGGTCCAGAAACTGGCGAGGTATCTGGTAGTGCTCGTAGAAGGTGTGTCCCGATTTCTCCACGATTTGTTTCTCTCGGTCAGAAAGCAATACGTGGGGACACTTCTCCAGCAGTCTCTCAAAGACTTTGCCCATGTCAGGAGTTCTCTCGGAGCTGCCACGGATTCGCATGTATCGGACATGCGATATGTGGTACTTCCTCTTTGCTTCCTGAAGGGACAAACGACCCAATCGGATCTTGGCGTAGGATTTGCGCGATAGCTTGGTTCCGGGCATTTTGTTGTGTTCTATACCTATGTACCTAGTGTATCTCTAATTCGAGTGCACCTTCGCCGATGGAGAAACAACACGAGAGTGGTCCAAACCCCATCAACATACTGTTGTTGTTTTTCTGCGGTGGACTCCATTTTTGCTTTCCGTATACCTGTCTTGGGGTTGGATGGACTACTGGGATCGTGAAGAAAAAAACAACAATGCAAACAAAGAGTGTCCCTATATATTCAAATGTTGAGTGGAGATGCACCCTTTCGTCTTTTCCCTATTACTTTTACATAGGAATTTTGCTTTGTGGTACCGTACCCCCGTTGTGTATACTACCACATGGGTTCGATTGTCCCCTGTCGTGATGTTGCTGGAATATTGGTAAAAGCGACGTAAAACCATACTCACTCACTCAGTCTTGTGAAGCGTGTCAGAACTCCTGATAAATACGGCAAAGGCTCAGTTTTTCACAGGGAAGGTTCTTTGAACGACCACTGCAATGAGCTTATGTGCAGTGGGTTGAGAAGAGCAGCCCTGCTGAGTTATTCGCTGGGATGAAGTCGGCTAGCCTGAAAAGTGAAACAGAATACTTTATGTTTGCTGCTCAAAACTAGTCACTTACAACACATAACCGTCAATGTGTCATTTTGTGTCAAATTATAAATATGAAATGTAGATTGAGCAAAGAATTTAACTAGACTGTCCAACATCTTCTCAGTGGATGCCCAGTGGATGATACGTGGATTGGTTCTGTAATGGCCGTCTGCGCCATGCTTGTCGTGTTGACTCGCTCTACTATTAGGTGCGGGTCTGTAGCCTGCGATTTGTTTACTTCCGGGCATATGTCCTGACTTCGTGCGAGAATGGACGGCAAAATTATTGAAAGCTTTAAATGAGAATAAAATCACCAGGTTAGTGATACGCAAGGTACTTTACAGAGGTCAACTGAGCATAAATTGTGCAGTTTATTCAACGGTCAAAGCGATGGAAGCGTTTGTCAGACCGAAACCCAGCCGAGCCGAGCCGGGCCGCCATTTTGTTTCGATTTACTGACACACCTTTCTTATATCTTATATATATAGGTCAAACTTATAAACATATCAGAGTCAAGCGCCTATGCATATGGTCTGATTGACCATAATTCGACATCAAGTCATCCGGGTCAACTGATTGGAAAACGTGAACAGAGAGACCTGAAATGAACGATCAGCTGACCCCACCACTACCAGGGTGTTCTGGTTAACTGTCTGTATGTCCAAAAGTAGCATGTACCGCCTGCACAAACATGTAATGTGTAGCAAACACTGTCACGTTAAGGTTGGACCAGCCGGATCAGCGCACCTAGGCGATTACAATCTGTCAGACAGACCTTGAAACCTAATATTGCTTTAGCAAGTCAACATTACCAATGTTGAATGAAAAGGATCTTTACTGATATTCCAAGCAAGTGTAGCTCTGCAGATTGTGTTAAGTCTCTGAAAATGAATAACGTCTCTGGGGTCATTTTTATTATATTTTATGGTTAGAATTTAGGAATCAGTTCTTCTGTAATATAATATGTTCATTCAGAGACTAGATGTTAGTCTAAGAGGCTTAGTGGACGGAAGATGATTGAAAAAGCCCACCTTTGGAGCCCACTGCTACACCCACCTGTCGTTAAGAATACAAATATTCTTTTACACCTGTCTTCATTGTCGCTAACTAGCTGACTCGTTCACATGTCGCCATTGCTGGTGTAAGCAATAAACGCTTTGGCGCAGACATGCATTCATGTCTGCATTGGCCGAGAACCGACCGAGTCAAGCCAGCAACACGACCGTGTACATCCCTTCCAAATCTCCCTTTTTCTTGATATTTAAAAACAATATGGCCCTCGGGTTTGTGACTGAAAAGCTGGTATCGTTAAATTAAATAAACTGCCTGTCGGCACACCTACCTGTCATGAACTTACCTCCACAACAGTATGTAGAAACAGCCATGTACCCGTTCACTTCAGACAGCCAAGTCAATTGATTGAACGACCTAGACATTTAGGACTCAATATTATTGATTAAACCCTCCTTCAGAAATAACCGTGTCCCTTATCTCATAGAACTGGGGGTGCAGGTTGGGGTGGATGGGAGGGAGTCCATGAGACGTAGACTTCCACAGGCTCTTCCAAAGGTATATAAATCATTGTTCATGGTTATTCACGCATATTACACTAAGGCTTATGTTACATTACCTGTGTAACAATGTTCCAATTGAAAGAAATTGTATCAGTGGTGGGAAGAGGTGTGCTATATTTTGACAGAAGGCACTACGAAGTACTATAAACCTGTTGGCTACACGGACATCACATTTCTTTATTGTTTGTTGGTCTCTCACCAGGTTCTTTTATGGACTGATATCTCCTTAAGTTTTAGTTTCAGATTCGGAATCAACAGACATTTGGGGCTCGTTCGGAATCGAAATTTAATATATCACAAAAGTAGCTGTCAAAATTATTGGATTAAAATTATATTGTCTATTATCTGAACACCATGCATCCATACGCACATGTTATTGACTCATGACCCTAAAGTCGCTGACGTGTCTTCCTTTACATGTATTGAAAGATGCATCATTGAAGAAAATATATTTTCCTTGAACTCTACATCAAGCAATTACGTTTTTCCCTTAGTATTATATGCACATCTTGAAGAACGACAGCGCAGAACATTTGGCGACCGGGAGAGAGGAATTCGGTGTGAGTGGTTGAGTGTGGCAATGCGTCTCTGAAGTGTCTCCATGTTGTGTGTTAACTCCTCGGTCTGGCCTAGTGTGGCAATGCGCCTCTGAAGTCTCTCCATGTTGTGTGTTAACTCCTCGGTCTGGCCTAGTGTGGCAATGCGTCTCTGAAGTGTCTCCATGTTGTGTGTTAACTCCTCGGGCTTGCCTAGTGTGGCAATGCGTCTCTGACGTCTCTCCATGTTGTGTGTTAACTCCTCGGTCTGGCCTAGTGTGGCAATGCGTCTCTGAAGTCTCTCCATGTTGTGTGTTAACTCCTCGGTCTGGCCTAGTGTGGCAATGCGTCTCTGACGTCTCTCCATGTTGTGTGTTAACTCCTCGGTCTGGCCTAGTGTGGCAATGCGTCTCTGACGTCTCTCCATGTTGTGTGTTAACTCCTCGGTCTGGCCTAGTGTGGCAATGCGTCTCTGAAGTTTCTCCATGTTGTGTGTTAACTCCTCGGTCTGGCCTAGTGTGGCAATGCGTCTCTGAAGTCTCTCCATGTTGTGTGTTAACTCCTCGGTCTGGCCTAGTGTGGCAATGCGTCTCTGAAGTCTCTCCATGTTGTGTGTTAACTCCTCGGTCTGGCCTAGTGTGGCAATGCGTCTCTGAAGTCTCTCCATGTTGTGTGTTAACTCCTCGGTCTGGCCTAGTGTGGCAATGCGTCTCTGAAGTCTCTCCATGTTGTGTGTTAACTCCTCGGTCTGGCCTAGTGTGGCAATGCGTCTCTGACGTCTCTCCATGTTGTGTGTTAACTCCTCGGTCTCTGACGCTCCAGTGTGTTAACTAGTGTGGCAATGCGTCTCTGAAGTCTCTCCATGTTGTGTGTTAACTCCTCGGTCTGGCCTAGTGTGGGAATGCGTCTCTGAAGTTTCTCCATGTTGTGTGTTAACTCCTCGGTCTGGCCTAGTGTGGCAATGCGTCTCTGAAGTCTCTCCGTGTTGTGTGTTAACTCCTCGGGCTTGCCTAGTGTTGCAATGCGTCTCTGAAGCCTCTCCATGTTGTGTGTTAACTCCTCGGGCTTGCCTAGTGTGGCAATGCGTCTCTGACGTCTCTCCATGTTGTATGTTAACTCCTCGGTCTGGCCTAGTGTGGCAATGCGTCTTTGGAGTGTCTACATGTTGTGTGTTAACTCCTCGGTCTGGCCTAGTGTGGCAATGCGTCTCTGAAGTCTCTCCATGTTGTGTGTTAACTCCTCGGGCTTGCCTAGTGTGGCAATGCGTCTCTGACGTCTCTCCATGTTGTGTGTTAACTCCTCGGTCTGGCCTAGTGTGGCAATGCGTCTCTGACGTCTCTCCATGTTGTGTGTTAACTCCTCGGTCTGGCCTAGTGTGGCAATGCGTCTCTGACGTCTCTCCATGTTGTGTGTTAACTCTCGGTCTGGCCTAGTGTTGTGTGTTCTCCGTGTTGTGTGTTAACTCCTCGGTCTGGCCTAGTGTGGCAATGCGTCTCTGACGTCTCTCCATGTTGTGTGTTAACTCCTCGGTCTGGCCTAGTGTGGCAATGCGTCTCTGAAGTCTCTCCATGTTGTGTGTTAACTCCTCGGTCTGGCCTAGTGTGGCAATGCGTCTCTGAAGTCTCTCCATGTTGTGTGTTAACTCCTCGGTCTGGCCTAGTGTGGCAATGCGTCTCTGAAGTGTCTCCATGTTGTGTGTTAACTCCTCGGGCTTGCCTAGTGTGGCAATGCGTCTCTGACGTCTCTCCATGTTGTGTGTTAACTCCTCGGTCTGGCCTAGTGTGGCAATGCGTCTCTGAAACAACTTCAAGGTATATGAAGTCCATCAACTTCCAGATGACCACACGGATGCCTATAGGCATCCTAAACGTGTACTGGAAAATGATACAGCACATTTATTCACGCGGAAAGATCCATATAACTTCACGTTAACATTATGTAAGCATGTCTGTTTTTAAGTATCCTGGATCATGTGCAACACAGTCATCCCGCTCGTACATTGTCTGCAGGGAAGGAGGTCGATACTTTGCAAGTTCCAGGAGCATCCCGACAGTGTTTGGGAGGCAACATCTTCTCGCTCTTCCCACACAGCAGTTCATAACCGCATACTTATGAATCTGTTTATTGTGTGTCAATCTGGCCTAGTGTGGCAATGCGTCTCTGAAGTCTCTCCATGTTGTGTGTTATCTCCTCGTTCTGGCCTAGTGTGGCAATGAGTCTCTGACGTCTCTCCATCTTGTGTGTTAACTCCTCGGTCTGGCCTAGTGTGGCAATGCGTCTCTGAAGTCTCTCCATGTTGTGTGTTAACTCCTCGATCTGGCCTAGTGTGGCAATGCGTCTCTGAAGTTTCTCCATGTTGTGTGTTATCTCCTCGTTCTGGCCTAGTGTGGCAATGAGTCTCTGACGTCTCTCCATCTTGTGTGTTAACTCCTCGGTCTGGCCTAGTGTGGGAATGCGTCTCTGAAGTCTCTCCATGTTGTGTGTTAACTCCTCGGTCTGGCCTAGTGTGGGAATGCGTCTCTGAAGTTTCTCCATGTTGTGTGTTAACTCCTCGGTCTGGCCTAGTGTGGCAATGCGTCTCTGAAGTCTCTCCGTGTTGTGTGTTAACTCCTCGGGCTTGCCTAGTGTTGCAATGCGTCTCTGAAGCCTCTCCATGTTGTGTGTTAACTCCTCGGGCTTGCCTAGTGTGGCAATGCGTCTCTGACGTCTCTCCATGTTGTATGTTAACTCCTCGGTCTGGCCTAGTGTGGCAATGCGTCTTTGGAGTGTCTACATGTTGTGTGTTAACTCCTCGGTCTGGCCTAGTGTGGCAATGCGTCTCTGAAGTCTCTCCAAGTTGTGTGTTAACTCCTCGGGCTTGCCTAGTGTGGCAATGCGTCTCTGACGTCTCTCCATGTTGCGTGTTAACTCCTCGGTCTGGCCTAGTGTGGCAATGCGTCTCTGACGTCTCTCCATGTTGTGTGTTAACTCCTCGGTCTGGCCTAGTGTGGCAATGCGTCTCTGACGTCTCTCCATGTTGTGTGTTAACTCCTCGGTCTGGCCTAGTGTGGCAATGCGTCTCTGACGTCTCTCCGTGTTGTGTGTTATCTCCTCGGTCTGGCCTAGTGTGGCAATGCGTCTTTGACGTCTCTCCATGTTGTGTGTTAACTCCTCGGTCTGGCCTAGTGTAGCAATGCGTCTCTGAAGTCTCTCCATGTTGTGTGTTAACTCCTCGGTCTGGCCTAGTGTGGCAATGCGCCTCTGAAGTCTCTCCATGTTGTGTGTTAACTCCTCGGTCTGGCCTAGTGTGGCAATGCGTCTCTGAAGTGTCTCCATGTTGTGTGTTAACTCCTCGGGCTTGCCTAGTGTGGCAATGCGTCTCTGACGTCTCTCCATGTTGTGTGTTAACTCCTCGGTCTGGCCTAGTGTGGCAATGCGTCTCTGAAACAACTTCAAGGTATATGAAGTCCATCAACTTCCAGATGACCACACGGATGCCTATAGGCATCCTAAACGTGTACTGGAAAATGATACAGCACATTTATTCACGCGGAAAGATCCATATAACTTCACGTTAACATTATGTAAGCATGTCTGTTTTTAAGTATCCTGGATCATGTGCAACACAGTCATCCCGCTCGTACATTGTCTGCAGGGAAGGAGGTCGATACTTTGCAAGTTCCAGGAGCATCCCGACAGTGTTTGGGAGGCAACATCTTCTCGCTCTTCCCACACAGCAGTTCATAACCGCATACTTATGAATCTGTTTATTGTGTGTCAAAGATGAGCATAGTGATCGTGTCAACAAGTTAGCTAAAGATGAAAGGAATGAAATGAAATAAAATAATGCGCTATCTGAAAAAGCAAATAGAAAGTGAAAGACATTATCTTATGGTATTTTATAAACTGTTGTTTTTCTTTTCCAAAATATATTATAATATTTATTTGTTATGTTTCTATACAGGTGCAAGTACCTTTGTTTTAAACATAATTTATTGTCCATAATGACGAAGGGATTGGGTACAAGTACATTGCTTATTGTCGCCTTTTCCCAATATACAAAGAAATGTATCAACACAAATGGTGGTGACACCCAATATTGACACAACTGACTTGTCACACCACTCCTGTCTCAGTCCGTTTCCTGTTTAAAGGTATTTGTTTTGACACTGACTTATAATACAATCAGTGGAAGTAGCAAACATTTTCGTCTGGGACTTTCATCTAAGTCAGTGAGCATTGTTTTATGCAGCTTTTACCCACATGTCGACAATGTCACCGTGAATATCTGTGTGGGGCATCCGACGCATGTCTTTGTTGTGACGAGAAGACGCTTCAACCACTGCTACCCCCGATGGGCTGACCTCAGAGCTACAGAGGGAGACTGCCCCTGCCCCCTCTCATCCAGAAAGTCACCATTGAGGTAAACATCCACATCCGGACAGGACATGTTTCACGTTTGGCAAGGACTTAAGCTGTGAAGATATCTTATTTGCTTTTACCACACAAATCCCATTTTATTTATCATAGATCATAGCAGTTAACAGTCTGATTAAACATGACCTATAAATTGTTGGCACGGAGACTGTTATCTTTGCTTAATATCTTTATAACCATAGTGAGTTTTTCAGTGTTGTTGGTAATTGGTATCATACTTTTGTGCTGCCACCTTGCCAGCGAAACCATCTAGTGCCGTTCAAGTATACTACTCATCTTTCCATAGAATATTCAGATATATTCAATTCTAAATGCACACTTGATATATTGTCAAAATCAACATTGTGTTGATGTCTGTATCAAATGTGGTGTATTGTATCATAAGGTGGAGTATTCCTTTAATGACTATACTAAAAAATACGCATTGCCATGTCTCACATATTTCCGCCATTACCCCAAGCTCTTGGACTGTGTTGCTCATTTGTAGAGTAAATTATGACCCATTGTCATAATGTGTAATTGAAACCTGCAATTCCCACAGTCCCAGGCCCACCGTGATATCTCTATCTAGCACTGTTTGACAATGGGCTATTTATGAGTCATGCAGTTCATTGTTTATGACAACTGGGTTGCTGTCGTGTGACATAAACCTGCCCTTCTCACCCTACAGTGTCATCAGGAAGTTGGGCTGGGTTGCCCACTTCACACATACAACAACATAGCACTTCTCTATACCACTTCTCAATGGCACTTCTCTATACCACTTCTCCATGGCACTTCTCCATGGCACTTCTCTATACCACTTCTCCATGGCACTTCTCCACAGCACTTCAACTTGGTTCTGTATCTTATCAAATGTGGAATGCAGTAACAGCTATAGCAGAATAAACATTTGTTTGACTGCAATACAGTCAACGAATGAGATTATATAATGCTGTTTGTTACGTCCAGATGGCAGTATTTGTTAAACAAATACTCTAAATACAAGTTGAGTATAGAACACAACATTTGGTAGGCACAGTAATATACGTCGTTCTATATCATTATAAACTTGATATGTAAAAGAATAACTGTTGTGTGTCAGGCAAAGATAATTCCAAGATATTTTTATGGATTAAACGTCTTTTTTAATTTCTCTCACAACGTTTCGAGACCATTCCAGGTCCCTTCATCAGGTGAACTGGCAGTTAGGACTATGACCAGGCCCATTAACACCCGGGTTGCTGAACACAAGTCATCAGTATGCAAACAAAATGATAAGTCAGCTATATCGGAGCACAAGGCAAATAACCCAAGTCATGTAATCATGTGGAATGATATTAGGGTGATTTCGAGAAATAACAATGACTGGCGTCGGAGAAAACTACAGGAAGCTGTCGAGATAAGGAGACATAAACCAGCAATTAATCGTGATCAAGGTGTAACCTGCCAAGTGCGTGGGACCTCTTGATTAACTTTTGATGAACTTTTGATGAACTTTAGATACAAGAAAAAAACGAGTCTACTATTCTTTTTGGAAAGCCTGCTATCAAGTAACCTTTGTGTAATTAGCAGTTGTTGTGTATTGACAATTCAACTTTCAACTCTATTATTTAGCATGAATTTCATCATTATGTAATTAACTCTTCAAACTCACTTATACAGTACTCTCCCTAGTGTACTGTGATGTCACTTGCATTGTGACGTCATAACTCAGTTATGACGTCATAGTGACGACGTCATAGTCCTAACTGCCAGTTCACCTGATGAAGGGACCTGGAATGGTCTCGAAACGTTGTGAGAGAAATTAAAAAAGAAGTTTAATCCATAAAAATATCTTGGACATCAATGTACAACTTCTAAATGCCACTGAAAGACAAAGATAATTCCTATCAAAAGTGTATTTAGAGTATTTTTATTTAATGTTTTCTTGAAGACTCGGGTAAGAATAAGTCTTCAGCAAGCCATGCTCTTACGACATGGGTTACTGAAGACCAATTCTAACCCGGATCTTCACAGGTTCCCTGTCTCAAAGATTAATCGTAATGCGTAATAGTATCAAAGAAGGACTTATATTTAGGGAGACAAGCGGAATTAATACCATGTGGATTATTAAAACATCAAAAGGTTTGCTAAAATTGTTACACTTTCAGAAACTGACTGAGTTATTTCTATCAAAACATTTGATTTCTCAACGTTTTTCCCACATGACAAACTTAAGGGGAAGGCTCATTAATTGATCCAGGGGCATTTGGTCCAATAAACGTGTGGTATATATGAATATTGTAATTATTCTCTCTAAATACAAGTATGCAGAAACTGCCAGCAACAAAACGTCAGACAGTATTATCCGACAGTTTGTAACGTATCTGACTGGCAGAGAAGGGCAAGGACTTTCCACCTGTAGTCGTATTAGTTGTACGTGAACACACTCATGCCCCTTGCAGCCTGTTTTGCTGGTGTTGTCGTATTGCACCCATCGGGCGTTGCTTGGTTCATGTATCATACACATAGTAAAACATTCACAAGTCAGACACTGGGCACGGTATGAACGGTCAGGGCATATTTTTGATCTTGTAGACTAAGGGATTTATAAAGGCTTTTATGTGATGCATTTTCTTTCTACACTGTTATATGTCGTAAGAGGCGACTAATGGGATCGGGTGGTCAGGCTCGCTGACTTGGTTGACACATGTCATCGGTTCCCAAATGCGTAGATCGATGCTCATGATGTTGATCACTGGATTGTCTGGTCCAGATTCGATTATTTACAGATCGCCGCCATATAGCTGGAATATTGCTGAGTGCGGCGTAAAACTAAACTCACTCGCTCACTCACTCACTCCACTCACTCACTCATCCATAAAGACTGCCAGGTGAATGGGGCAATGTCAGTCGAGGTTGCTGTTCAGTTCAAGTGCTTGGCGAGGTCTGTCAACATCAACCCACAGTCCACCGTGGTGCGCCTGGTATGTTGCTGACTGTGGCGTGAAATGACATTCGCTCGCGTACGATACTTCCCAGTGAGCTGAGAATGACAATCGAGTACACATAATGCATAGACCGTGGTAATACTGTAGCGCTCTGAGATTGCTTCAGTGTGTGAATTATAGATATGCACATTATCATAAATATCATTATCACTAACCCATAGTCCGTCATGCTGCGCCTGGAGCGTTGGGGATAAGCTAGTGGTTAAAGCGTTCGCTCGTCACGCCCAATACCCGTGTTCGATTCCCCATTGGGTACAATGTATAAAGTCCATTTTTGGTGTCCCCCGCCGTCATACCGCTGGAATACTGCTAAAAGCGACGTAAAACCATACTCACTCACTCATTCACTCACTCACTCACACCAGGTGACGTTGATGACGTTAAGCATTCTCATGTACTATCGACATCATTACAAAGCTAGGAGGCATTTCGCTGAACATTAACTGAAAAAAGGTGTTGCAAGATCAAACTTTTGACTACATGCTTATTCGACAAGTGCCCGTCCTGTTCACATGTTGAATATCTGGGTCGCGTCCTCCAGATGTTGAGACTGTCATAATATTTATGATCTAAGTTGACTAATGGTAGTAATAAAAATGTCGTGTTGGCTACAAGAGGTTTAGCTATATTGTGTTTACATAGACGGGACATTGAGTGTGATATCCGGTAGGGATTCGTGCTAGTTACGGGAAAGGGATACCGTGACATGCATTTTGAAATTACATGCAATATGTAATACAATGTTTCCGTGTTCCGACTGTATTATAACATTGTGAACCTATATCAACACTGTGTATGTGCATTCAAACAAACCCGTTTTAGCAATTCCTCTATACACATTCCGACATCCCTCATTCCGACCCAACA